CAGACAAGCATTTGCCTGTAAGAGTGTACCTTCATGGCAGACAAGCAATTGCTTAACTTGCGTGAACTCGTTAAGTTCAGAGAGAAAGAGGGGGGAAGCGTGATGGTGGAGAAAACTTGATGAATACAAAAGTGGAACTCTGGGCTTCCAAAAACTAACGATATATAAAGTAACAGATTGATTGTCAATTCTTGAATTCAAGTTCTAGAATTTTATTAGCTGTACCTGTGTAAATATATTTCATGTTTTACCATTTTTAAACTTCTATGACTTTCTAATGTCCTCGGTTACCCAAGCTGTCTACATTTACAAAATATGAAAATGTTGGAATAATTTCCCCAGGACTCTATATTGGAAAGGCTTCTTATAGTTTTACTGCAGTCCCATGAATGGAAAAGAGTCGTTTCTATGTCTCTTGATCTTGCAGATCCCGTCATGAAGCCAGTGGTTCAGTCACATCCTGATTCTGGGGCTGTGGAATATGTGGGCAACATTACCTTGATCTGCCAGGTGAAAGGGGGTACCAGGCTAGTTTACCAGTGGCGAAAAAATGGGAAACCTGTTTGCATCAACTCCAGCCACTCATTTTCTCCCCAAAACAACACCCTTTGGATTGTTCCAGTGACAAAGGAGGACATTGGAAACTATAGCTGCCTTGTGTCCAACCCTGTCAGTGAGATGGAAAGTGACGTCATTATGCCTACCATATACTGTAAGTTTTGCTTTGTCTTATGTCTATATTTATGACAAGGTCCCACAGGGGTAGATATAGATAATATTAGCCCTAGAGGTCATTTGGTATTTATCAGTATTATAACTCAGTAACTGTCAAAGTCACATGGTCTAGGCATTGTCTGGTCCAGAAATACATCTACTGACACAACTTTCCCTTTTGAAGACCAACTTGAAACATTAATCACAGGGCATTCAAAGTGTTATTTGTGATTCTAAGCACTGGGTGATTTCATGTGTAGTGAAATTCTCAATCCCAAAAATCCAGTACCACAAAGAGGTGCTGATTCATTCATCTCCGAGAAGGAAGAGGAAATGATGGAGATCCAGGGATGGGATATGTTCTGTAGACTGCATGAGAAAGGAGTACTCCTGGGTTATGTGTGGGAGAGTACTTTGAAGGACAGGTGCTCCCCTTGCCTTTCTCTTCACCATTTCTACATTTGATCTTAGCCGAAGGCTGAAAAGTGATCCTCCCATTTCTGAAAGGAGGGTTCAGGAAGGATTCTACACAGAACAATCTCAAGTGTTTTCCCAAGAAGATCAGTAATTACTTCGGAATTCTAATTCCCTTCAGTTGTTTTCGTTGTTGAGATGGAATCTCATGTACAAGTAAAGTGTATCTAACTCTTCAGCTTGTGTCAGGCTCCAATCACAGCCCCAACAAGGTCCCTCATTTTCTTTATTCTAGTATTTTTCTAGTCATTAGGGTCATAGCACTACCTCTAATATGATTAAATCTCATTTATTTATTTATTTAGAGTGTGTGTGTATGTGTGTGTGTTTTGGTATGCATACAGCATGTCTGTAGAAGTCAGAGGGCTACTTTCAAGAGTCAATTCTCTCTTCCCTAGGGGAGGAAAATCAAACTGTCAGGTTTGAAAGAAATTTGCTTTACTCACTGAATTATCTCACCTACCCTTTAATATACTTAATATTGCATGCAAAGTTTAATGTAAAATGGAAATTGTTCACTGTTTAGAACAGTGACATTGGAAGATTGGAAAACTCTGCTATAGGAGTGTTCTGGACAATTTAGGGTACTCAGAAGCCTCACTGTCCTCCATCAGAGCATACCAGCACTAACTAAAACCTATCTTTGAACATCACTGTATGACCTCTGAAGATGGGGCAGCATCTCTTCAGCTGAAAACTGACAGCTACCTCTTTGGGAAGCCTTAATGTAAGATTGCAAGAACAACTATGAGGCTAGGAAAAGTGAGATGTGACAACGGAAAACTTGTTATGTCTGGCATGGGGATGAAGTTTTCACCTTCTAACACAACTGAGCCTGGAACATAAATCTATTCACTCATTAAATATGTCTTCATAATAGTGGAAGAGGCACTAAATCTTGCACCTATTGCTCACAAGTCAGACAACAGGAGTGATAAATGGGGTTGATAATGGCCTATGTGGTCTCAGTAAGTCCCCTGGTCTTTCTGGGCCTCATTTATAAAAAGGAGATATTTGAAATTACCTCACGGTATTACTGAGATTAAATGAGATATTGTCCAAAAAATAAGAAAAGAAGCATATAAACAAGCTCTCACTAAAGAGAATATGGTGCTATTATGGACACATTTGTTTTCATCTGCTTCATATATGTGCATCTACTTCATAAATGTGCATCTACTTCATATATGTGCATCTACTTCATAAATGTGCATACTTTCGCCACTAGAATACTGGCAGAGCCCTCTCGAGCACATGCATCAAAAATAAAAAATAAAAAACTTTAGAGAAAAGCACTAGCATGTGAATAAAGTATGGTCTTCTGCAACCAGATGATGCTTAAATTAAAACTGAATAGCAGCACTGAGGCAGAGAAGAGAGCTGCTTGGGCCAGGAGGAGAACAGAGGACTGATACACATATGCACGGTGGCTTTGCTTGAAAACCTGCAAAATTCAATTAAAGGAAATCGAATTACTGGATCTTAAAATTGGCCATGAATCCTATGTTTTTAGTAGGGGAAACTATACATGATAATATGTATGGAGTCAAATGCCGTGGCTGTTTTAGATATGTGTCACAAGAAGCAGAGCAGATAGGAGGAGGAACTGCGGAGTCATGGGCCAGCATTCAAATCCTGGACTGGCAAGCTCCTCTCTGTGCAATACTCTCTTCATCATCAGTGCTGACCTCGGGAACCTACTTCATGGAGCAATTGTGCGAATGAACTGTCTCTGGATGAGAAGTGAGAGAACACTTGACTGGCCCATAGTCAGCGCTGTAGAATAGTTCGCCAGTATTTCATTATAAAGTTGTTATCCCGCATGAATACAAAGGTGGGAAACATTGCCTGTTACTGAAGAAAAGCCTCCTTTCATAAAGTTACATTTGAGTGAATGTGTTACAGTGAGCATGGTTGAGCAAGTGGAAAGGTCTGGAAAACCATCACCTGCACAGACAGTAACAAGAGACCAGACCCAAAGAGGAAGTAAATGTATTTTCCAAGGACTGAAACAAATCATTGCTTGCTTTGTTTGCTCATCTGTTTTAGAGTCAGTGTCCCGTTCCACATCCCAGGCTGGCCTGGTACTCAATACATAGCCCAGGCTAGAGTTTAGGGTCAGCCTCCTGTGCACTGAGACCACAGGCATGAACCACGATGCCTGATTTGTATTTAACTATGACAAATCTCTCCCCCCCTTTTTTTCTGAGACAGGGTTTCACTGTAGCTCTGGAGCCTGTCCTGGAACTAGTTCTTGTAGACCAGGCTGGCCTCGAACTCAGAGAAATCCACCTGCCTCTGCCTCCCGAGTGCTGGGATTAAAGGTGTGCACCACCACTGCCCAGTGGCAAATTATTTTTATAGCTTAATTTATAACTATATTTTTAAAGGTTTTAAAAAGTATTTTCAGATAGCCTTGTGAGAATATTCTGTCTGCCTTTAAAGCAGAGACAAAGAAAGTCTAAGCTGCGGCAATGCTGCACAACCATGGTGGAGCTGTAGGGAAGATTTGGAAAGAGTGCAACCCATTTTTAGGTGTACTTCTTTACTAAGCAGGTTATTTTCAAAAGTTAAAACTTCAGTTCAAACACAAGCAGCACAAACCTAAATATGTAAGATATGTTAACACAGGGAAAAGAAAATATGAACAAATTGAATCAAAGGCAAGTCATATCATCAGGATTTTCTTGGCAATAATCTACTAATTTCATTATTAGTTTCTTTTGCTATCGCAACTTCAGCCCTGTTTTATTACTTGCTTTTGTTTTGCTTTGTTTCCTTGGTTTCAAGTGACAAGGTTTAAATAGCATGCATAAGAGTTTGTCACTGATCTTCTATTGATGTGGCATCAAAGTGTTTGGAGTTTTCTCATTCCCTGTACACTGGGAATATTTGCCTAGTTTGATGCATTCCCCAATGCTCCATTTGTATGTAACTACTCCTCTTCCTTCATTATCTCCCACCTCAAGGCCCATCTGTCCTGCCTGTTCTCACATCCTCAGTGTCACTGAGACACTCAAGTCTCTGAGCAAAGACAGTACCCTGTACCTATCTGTCTCTGCTCCCCACTACACTATGTCTTCCTTGACTCTCTCTCCTCCTAAGTATCAGTACAATAAACTCTCATAGGAGCTCTATGTTGCTAAGCATCTTTAATTTTATAGGGCAATATTTGACACAGTTAAGAACTCAGTTTAACCTGACTAAAATGGAAGAGACTATTTTGTTCATATCATTCTTCCAATCCCACTTTTACTCCATGACTGTGATCAGACAAAGATAATAATCAAGTGGCCATCACATTCTAATATTCTTCCATAGATATCCACATCATCATTTAGAATATCTTCATGAATTATCTATTCTGTTTTTATTGTTTCCCTGACATTTTTTCATGTAGAACAGGAATTATTTTTATTGCTAATAAAGTTATAACAAAATCTACCAAGACTGACTATATATTCATTTGACCATGATGTCATAATCTGGGGTTAACCTTAATGAAATACCATGCCAAGTAAAAAGTCATCAAATATCTATTTATTGTTTACAAAATGTAAATGCCCTCTAGCTCCAACTGTAAATAATTACTCAATAACCACTTCATTGTCTGTGAAACACATGACACTGCTGCAGGGAGTACTCTAAGTGATAAAAATTAAAGGAAAAAAGGAACATTTACAGTAAACACTTACTTACCATCTGTTCCCTTGCAGGGTGGCAAGCAGTACCATGATGGAAACTTAGCTACTGTTCACACCCACTCATAAATGGTTAAAGAGAACAGATGACATGTGATTTTACAAGTCATTTAGTAAACAGCCATCCCTAAGGCAGAGCCATAGGCAAGACAGTGAACTATAATCCAAAGCCAAATGGAATTATCCATCTTTTTTTATCTGAATCAGAGGTCAAGCTAGTTGAGTCATTGCAAATGTCTCCTACAGGACTGCCCATTGACTTGACTAATGTGCTATGTGATAGCTCAAAATAGAAGAATCTTCACTCTGAAGTGCTGAGCAGTGTAAAGAAAATAATACCACAGTCCAGTCAGGGGAGAAGAGAATGTGAACAGTGTGTAGACTGTAAGACGAAGGTGTGTGCCTGTGTGTAAGAGGGTGAAACACACAGAAAAGACAGGCACAGACCCAAACACAGGAACAGAGAAAGGGGTGAGGGAGGAACAGAAGTAGGAAAAAACAGGAGGTGGAAGAGAATAGTGGGAAAGAGGGAGCTGTCTCAAGAGAAAGAGATGATTATACAGATGTACAGATGTTGGGTTTCTAGGAAAATAAATGATAACTTTTTGGAGCTGGAGAGGTGACTCAGCAGTTCAGAGCCCTGGCTGCTCTTTCAGAGGACCTGAGTTCAATTCCCAGCACCCACATGGAAGCTCACAACTGTCTGTAGTCCAGTTTCAAGTGATTTGACAAGTTCATACAGACTTAAAATGCAGGCAAAGCACCAAAGGTCATAAAATAAAAAAACATTTTTAAAAAGATAACTTTTCATTGGTGTGCTTCTTTAATTTATATTTTTTACAATGAATATGCATTTCCTTTTTATAATCAGATAAAATATAAATTTTATAAAATTGTATCAGAAGTAATCAATTCAAATGCCTCACAGTATTAGTTTCTGGGAACTGGAAGAAATGCTTGACAGGGAGGGTGCATAGAGGTTTGAGAGACATGAAACTAACTTTGGGGAGATAGATGTGGCATATGACAGAGAGAGCCAGATGTGGTGTATGACAGAGAGAAAGGTGATGTCAGTCATGAAACCCAACAAATAAGGAAGTAGCAAAATCAACAGACATGTGAGCAAAGAAAACTGCATTATCAGATTCTCTTCTTTCAAAGGATGTTTTATTTACAACAAGTTATTTTTATATTATTGGTATTACTCATCAACCATGACTCTAAATATGTACTTCCTCCATAGAGTCAAACCCACCATCCAAGATTAGAGAAATGTTAATTGGGAATACTCAAATATATTGCAAGATCTTGAGGAAATTCCAGAGGAGTTTCTGCTGGAGCTGGGAAGAACATGGTCCACTTTGAAAGGCACCACAGTTGTTCCCATGTGAGATCAATTACGCAGCAGCGTGTCATTATAGGCATGTTCTGTAAACCCTGGAAGTGGAAGTCAGTGGGAAGATAAGAATAGAAACCTGTTTTTATGGTCACTCCTGTGTTCCCTTTCACATCTGTATTGCTCTAAAACAACTCTCAGATTTTATATTGTTCACATGAACAGAGGTCTCTTGAACTTCCAAATTACACACCATTTGTTCCATTGCCTCTCCTCTAAGTGAAGCAGTTAGTGGTCCCTGACTGCACTGTCTTATATATCTCATAAGTGCTGGCAACCTAAAGAAAGAGCCCCCATTACAGCACAGAGCAGAAGACACAGTCTTAGGCACTATCTTCAACATCCCAGTTCCTCCCATGATGCCTAGAACAGTATCGTGCATAAGTAACCTTGATGTTGATTTTTTTCTGAATCATTAGAACAATTTTTCATTCCTGATATACAACTATCTATAGAACATTTACATCGTATTCAGTGTTATAAGTAATCTAACCATATTTAAGCATGTTTAAATTTTACAAGGGGATATATGTAAATAACATACAGTTAGCACTCCGTCCTCTATAGGGAAATTGAGCATCTAGCAATTTGCTATCCAGAGTGGATCCTGTAACCAATTCCTCAGGATAGCAATGACTGACTAAGTTAGCTTCTGCTTTCCTCCTGATAGTAGGTTTACTGATATAACCATAGCAACATAATGCTGTGGGACACTTCACATTTTCCTATGTCTTCAGAAAGAAAATGGGCTATATAACTAAATATAACCTATAAAACACTATTTCCAATTTTTGTTATATCTTATGAAACTTGTCTTCATGATGGCAGATGGATCAGAAAATTATGGCACAATGAAGAATTACTCCGAGAATCTACAAACTTAACTAAGATCGGTTTGACAATAGCCCCAAATGCTAGAGCGCAATATTAAGAATTTTGTCATAATTTTAAAAGCATAATAATTTTGGCAGTTAGCTAATCTATATTTTCATATTAAAAGATGAAGAGATCCCAAAAGTATAAATAACTTCGAGAGAACACTTAATTCATGACTGAGAAAAATGTTACCCTAAAAGTGTTATCCTTACATCACATGATTACACATATAGAGAAAGTTATGGCAGCTTTTAAAAGGAAATGAAAATACTGAGCAGTTAATACAGTTTGTAAATTTCTTAACAATGTGAAGTGTTTATCTCTTGCATACTAACTATAATTCTTATAATTATATTACTTCCCATTTTCCTTTCCTACCTCCAATCTCTCCCCTACACCTCCTTGATCCCTTTCAAAATTCATGGCCTGTTTGTTAAATGGTCACAAACATACACACATATTCCTAAATATTTAAATGCAAATCATTTTATACTTATTATCTCTTAAACCTTTGACAATTAAATGGTTGCTTGACTAATTACATGAGATGGTAATTTATCATAAAGCAATATGGTTAGCCAACAATATTCTGACATAGAAAAAGTATATAACATAAACCTTATTGCTTTAAATGTCTCAATACTGCTGTCTAATAGCTATGTGACTCTGGGAAATTACATTTAAAACTATAATAATGAAAATAATAACATTTGTCTCGTGAAACTTATTTAAGATAAAATGTGATCTATGTGTCTGATTACCTGGAGCTCCTTCCTGTGGCCAGTGTCAAGTAAGTGTCAGTTAATGTCGTGTGAAAAGTGAGTATAGCCATGCCCAAAATAACTTAAACTAGAGGAGAAACCTCATATCTGGGAAGTATTTTTAATATTGTTCTCATTCTCTACAAGAAGGCCTGTGGCATGTATCTTCAACTGGTCTAATACCATAGTGATTCTCATAGATGCAGAAGTGTGGGAAAACACAGCCAAACAGCCATAGTTAAGTAGCTTTTTAATTTTTCAATGAAGATGAGTTAGTGGGTGTGTGTGCTGTGTGAGAGTGAGTGCGTGTGTGGTGTGTGTGTGATTGTGTGCAAGGTGTGTGTGTGTGTGTGTGTGTGTGTGTGTGTGTATGGTGTATGTGTGGTGCATGTGGTTTATGTGGTGTGTGTGAGTGTGTGTGACTGTGTGTGTGAGTATGTGTCAGTGGTATGTGATGTGTGTGTGTGTGTGTGTGTGTGTATTCCAAATGGAATCTAAGGCTTAGAAGGATTTCTTTTATTTTTTTTTCTCAAAACAGGGTTTCCCTGTGTAGCCATGGCTGTCCTGGAACTCACTCTGTGGACCATGCTGGCCTTGAACTGAGATGTCTGCCTGACTCTGAAACCCTAGTTCTGGGATTAATGACATACGCCACCACCAGCAGCTAGAAGAACTTTTTTAATCTGTTAAAATCTTAAGAAAATCTGAAACACCTATTTGTACAAATCTCTGTTCCTTCTGAAATGCTCTTTGATAAATATTTGCATGACCTGACATTAAGAAGAAAAACAGACTCTTCTTAAAGTATGCTTGCCGAGAAGAAAATAGTACCTATTTGTTGTAAAAGTATTTTCAAGTGTAATTCTTATTTCAGAAAGACAGAGGTTGCCTAGTGACCGTGTGCATTTATCAATATGGCACAAAAAGCGTAGCCCCACACTGTTGATGTCAGTGTCTGTAAATCTGCAGACTAAGTTTCAAGTCTTAACTATTGCAAATATGTCCAATCAAGTACTTTTCAGTTTTGAGAATATCAGGATGAAACCTCAAGATCTAATTGAGGGTTTAAGTGAGGCTCTCTTTTCTCAAGTCTACATGAAGACATAAACTCCTCAAGCCCTGAAACTGTGCTGTGACTCTTCATATGACACACACCCTCCATCTCTTCTTTGCTTTAATACAGATGGACCTTACGGACTTCAAGTTAATTCTGATAAAGGGCAAAAGTTGGGAGAAGTGTTCACTGTTGACCTAGGTGAAGCCATCCTATTTGATTGTTCTGCTGATTCTTATCCCCCCAACACCTACTCCTGGATCCAAAGATCTGACAATACAACATATGTCATTAAACATGGGCCTCGTCTAGAAGTCACGTCTGAGAAAGTGGCCCAGAAGACTGCTGACTACGTGTGTTGTGCTTACAACAACATGACGGGAAGGCGAGATGAAGCTCGCTTTACTGTCGTCATCACTTCTGTAGGTAAGTGTGTGAAAGAGCAAACCTTTATAAAACATAAAGGTTTGATAGCCTTAGTCTCCCAAATGCCTGTGAAGAAGACAACATAATTTTACTGTTGTTTGAATGGTCTCTTTTCTCAGTCAAGTAAGCCATGAGTTTTGAGGACCCAAGAATGAAAACTCAAAACAAAATGGAGCGAAATTTAAATGACAGCTTTGGGAAGCTATGAAGAGTCAGTAAATTACTTCTAGGTGTGTTATTTCATTCCTAATTTTATGATCAGATGCATAAAGGGAATAGACTTCTCAGTTAAAAGTTTATGTGTACCATTAAATCAGGGTAAAAGAACAAATACGGAGAAGTTGGGGTCTTGGGTTTCCATTTTTCTGCTTGCTCCTTGGTGTTCATTGGTTCCTCTTCTTTTTTCATTCTTGACTTACCTGCAATCAATAGAAGTGTTTATCAAGAACATAATGGACTTGTAAACAACTTTTATAAGTCTATAAAATTCAGCATGCTCTAAAATTTGCATCTTAGAAATGTCATGGCCCAAAAGGTTAACCGCAGCTTGTTAGGGACACATAGCGAATTTCCATCCCATGAACTTCTCTGTGGAACTTGGTTCTGCTCTCTAGAATCATTCCTGTGCCGTTCTACTCAGGCCCACGGTATCTTGCAACACTGGCCTACTCACATCATTGTCTTCAAAGCTCTACAGGTGGACCCACATCTGCCTCCCAGAGGTTCTAAAAGCAGAAGATAAGTCTGAATTAGCAGGACCGAACCACTTTCCTTCTTCTTACATACCTATTTTGTCTGTATGCCCCCACTTTTCAGTGAATTTCCCTATAATCTACCAGCTTAGCAAAATCTAAGTATCACCTCAAACTCCTTTTTCCTGATCCTTGTGCCCTGTACTACACTCAACCACCAAACTCTGTCTAGTCTACATTTCTAGCTCCAAAATCTACCTACTTTCCTCCTTTCCTACATTTTCTTTGTCTTTCCTCTTATTGCCCTTCTACCTCTTCCTCCTGCACTAGTCCTGTTTTTAATCTTCCATTGTTATTTCTTCTGTTACATTCACTATCCTTGCATACAGAGAAAAGACAGTCCAGATACAACTTGAGGAAAAGCCCACAGTCTGAATAGGAAACAATGACTTAGATGCCTTGGTGAAGGAACAAGTGCACGAAGCATCACAACCATGAGTCCACAGATGCCTGTGGTCCATAGCATCATCCCTGGTGCCTAGAATAAGACACATAGCACAGAGAAGCTCAGTGCATTGTGTTCAATAAAGGAAGCAAAACTAAATGCTAATTTACATAGATATTTGTTTGTTTGTTTGTTTGTTTGTTTTCGAGACAGGGTTTCTGTGTAGCTTTGGAGCCTGTCTTGGCACTAGCTTTGTAAAATTCCAATTTACACAGATATTTGTTTGTCTGTTTGCTTGCTTTTTAGACAGGGATTCTGTGTAGCTTTGGAGCCTATCTTGGCACCAGATCTGTAGACCAGGCTGGCCTCAAGCTCACAGACAGCCACCTGCCTCTGCCTCCCAAGTGCTGGGAATAAAGGCATGCACCATCACTGCCTGACTATACTTATATATTTTTAATCCTTAGGCTAAAACATGCCAACTACAGTCATTTAGCTGCCTGCATCAAAATCACCTAGGCAGTTTGAAATGTAGTTGCTCAAGTGACCAAGGCAGAATGAATCCTCTGTCAATGTCAGCATGGAGTACAAATCAAGAACTTATCTCCAAATAAACAGATGAACAAACCAATTTTTAAGACACCCCAGACCTGCTGAATCAGGAGCTTGAACTATGATATTTGGTCTCAAATAACACTTAGTACAAGTATGACAACTGCTGATTTAATGGCTGTTCCTCCTGTGAATTTATAATTCAATAAGAACATCTTAGAGAGTCACAAAGGCATATCAAACTGGACAAAGCCAAAGCCTACAGTGTAATGAAGAAAAGTGTGTTGTCTTAGAACTATTTGAGATTTAAGGTATCCATATTTGTAAAATTAAGTATATTGCAATTCATATACTATCTTGATGAACATTTTAATGAGGGAGATAACCCTGCCTGTAATATTGTTGTTCAATAGAATTTTACGCAAGGAGGAAATTGTCAATACCATCACTTTCAACATGGAGGCCACTAACCTTGCTTAGCTTTTCAGTGATTCAAACATAGCTATGCAACTGAGGATTAAAGTTTCAATTTTATTTTATCTTTATTCACTTGAATTTAAATTTTACATAACTATATCTTTCTATTGCCCAGTGTAGTTACAAATTTCTTACCCAAATTGTGCCCTTTTGGGGCAGTATAAGGTAATATATTTTCTTTGTAGACCCCCCCAAAGCATGTGTTCAAAATGGTTAAAATTTAGCACGCATGCATTATTTGTCACCTATTATGGGACAAGTAAGAGCTAGGCACTGAGACTCAAGCAACCCCTGATAATAACCACTAACCAAAATGTAATATATCAAACCTACAGACAACTAAAGAACATCTTTTGCCTTATAATTTACTATATTTTCATAGGCTCAAGCAGCTTTTCACCATGTAACTAACTGAAATTTAGTTTAGAACAAGGTTTTGTGTTGTGTGTGTGTGGGGGGAGCGAGAGCGAGAGCGAGAGCGAGAGAGAGAGAGAGAGAGAGAGAGAATACCAAAGCACATATGGGATTGTTTGGTGGGATCTTAGTATCAGGTGAGACTTGTTCTTTATGCTCACTGCAAGTGGAAATATAAGTATATTATGTAGTAGTATATTACAATAGAGACTTCCCTACTTATTAAACTTTCTGCATTAATATTCAGTCAGTAAGTGTTCATAATATCAGAAGCCCCCGGTGTTTGACCAAGATTTTATTACCCGAGACAGATACAGTTTTCATGTCAGATAATTGTCCTTAGCAAAGACTCAAAAACCTGTTAGACCTGTACAAAGTCTGGCATTTGCTGTTGTAGTAAACAAGGAGAGCAGGTGCTCATTTTCCAGAGTGAGCCTGGATTGTCAACATTCGTGGCCTCATTGTGGCTTTTCATAGCTGTTTTCCAATATTCAAGGCTCACCGAGCCTTGTCTCCAACAAAAGTAAAAAAAGGAGAAAAATCACTAGTGCAGATGTGATGTGTTGTGTTCACTGTTTCTGTTTCAAAATGAATGAATTTCTGTGACAAAGATTAATGAATTTCTGCAGCATGAACTGACACACATGACCGTTGCTTGCAAGGCCAGCCAAACACTTATAGAATATGTATTCTGACAAACAAGCTGCATTAAGACTTGTAGGGAATTTGAAATAGTTTGTAAGATATTTCTAGAATCAAGTTGAAGTTTTGTGTCACCAGACACAACTTGCAGAAAATAGATGGATCTCCTTATTTTTAATGAGGCAAAACTATGTAACTGCTTTGAAGTCTCAGGAATAAGACATAGAGGGGGAAGGGAAAGGCAGTCAAAGATGACTCAGGGTCACAGACACGAAAGAAAATAACAAGGTCGGGAAATAATCAAAAGTTTTATTGGTGGCTTTCAGTTGAGAGGAAAACTGGAGAAGGTGACAATTAACTCTCTGTCTTCAGCCTGCGTGAAGCAGGACAGATGGGGACTCCCACCTCTGTGGGCTATGATTCACAGCTAGTTTGAGATATTTATAATTGACCTTTTTGTAATTCAGTGGAGATATCTAAAGAAAACAGAGGTAATTGAAAGAGTCACACAGCAAATGAATGACAAAATAGCTTCTGAATTCAAAGACTTTCTTTTTAACAATCTCAAAAATTCTATGCGTTTTAGGTCATTAAGCTATTGATGTGGATATTGCCCTTCTAATCAACACATACAGGATTATGAGTATAAAGCAGTGCGTGTTTAGTGCAATTCACAGTAGTGATTTAGGTTCAGTAAATACTTCAAAATATGGGTATCTGTATTCAAAGAAGTTTTCTTTGAATAATTTCTCAGGTAATTTAATGTAAAAATATGCAGGTACTTTGTCCACAAGCTATACTATTTCATATTTACAGAAAAACATCTATAGCTAAAAGTAATGTCTAGTTGTTTCAAGAAAATAATAGGCATTAAAATAATAAACTAGCGTTTATATTTGAAAGTGATGATTTTACCACCTCAAGTAAGAACATCTTTAAATACACATATCCATATTTTAAAGTATTAACTGAACCTAAATTACTACTGTGAGATATATATAGAAATTTAGCCATCTGCTTGAAATTTAAAGGTTTGTATTTAATGAAGATATTAAAGTGTATTTCAAAATTCAATATTCAAAATTCCCTGAGGGCATGTGGACATAGGTTTAAGAGGTATCTAGAATAGAAGTGTTTTAAATGTAAATGTAATGTGGATAAATCAATCATTAAAAATTATAATCCAAATCTTTTCATTTAAAAAGTAGGAAAGAGCATGAACTAGGAAGAGAAATTGATTGATTTCCCCTATGTTGCTACAAGTTTCTTAGCTTTGGGTAAATTAAGATACAGACTGAGATACAACATTAGCCTTGACGTCTGGATCTTGAGCCCTTTGATGATAGCTGCTTGAGAAGCTGCCCCGTCACACCTGTGTCTGTCAAGTGGGCATGAGAAGTGTGTCGGTCACACAGCCCAGAGTGTGTCATCTCCATCTCTGTGGGGACCTGAGGCAGCTGCCATCAGTAGTGAGCAGATTGGATGGAAGAGTTCTCGGGGCCCCATCCTCTTCTAGAAATAGACACACTGCCTGTGTAGCATATGGCTGTACTGTTGGGGTGCAGCCTCGAACAGCAGGGTAGCGATACCATGGATACCACGCCTCTTGCCTATATTTACACTTGGCATGTTATTCCATTTTATTTGTTTGCTTAAGGAGGGGGCAAATACCATTTGCACTCCAGCTTTGGTAAACAAGTTCGTCGTCCCAAATATATTCTCTGAGCAGTAAGACTAGAATTTCTCTACTATTTTCAAGTCAGAATTCTAGAAGCTTAGCTGTCCAAAAACACACTTGTTTAGGGCTGAGACCACAGCAACGGTGCCCTTTGATATGCATTCTAGATGGAGAAACAGGGACAAGAACAGACCCACAGCACTCTAAATGAGGGAGAAAGGAAAGATCATTTGTTTTCAGAAAAGGGCCATTTGCATCCTCAGTCTCTGTGGAGAGGGTGCTGGCCTTCACTACAGCCAAGCTTTTAGAGTGACAGGAATTGGTCATCATGAGGTGGGTCTCTGAGTGCAGAAGAATAGAAGTCAAAGGGACATGTTGAAGGGCAAGCCGGAGGAAAGGGCAAGCAAGGACACAGGAGGAATGAGGAACAGGAAGGTTGTGACCCTCTGTGGAAGGGGATTTGCAGACTTGGTTACTTATCAAAGGAAGGAAAAGATAACATGAAGGACAGAGAAATGTGTCCTTTGTGTCTCAGGGTAAGATGGCCAATTATTTTGTAGTAAGCTTGTTGCCAAGTTTAAGAAACTTGGCTGCCAGAGTGAAACAAGAGTGGTCTGAAAGTTGTCATTGGCGTATTTTCAATTTTAAGGAAGATGTTAAAACCAGCTAAGACCAAAATGTTTTTCTGCATAATAAAATAATCACTTAATTACGTTTAGAGGTGCTGGATTTTTCTATTTATTTATATTATTTATTATTTTTGGAACAGGATAATAGCATGGCTATTGTGAAGTGAAAGAGTTGAAGCATCTAATGTTTGATAGTTAAATTTGGAGGTTTCTGTGGTTGAAGAGATGATTTGGCTGTTAAGAACACTCGCTGCTCTTCCAGAGAACCCAAGTTCAGACCAGAAAGCTCACAACTGCCTGTAACTCCAACTCCAGGGGATCTGATGCCTTTACTGGCCTCCACGGAGCCTTGCACAGAAGTGGGACTCTCTCTCTCTCTCTCTCTCTCTCTCTCTCTCTCACACACACACACACACACACACACACACACACACACACACATACATATCTTTTTTTTAATTGGAATTTTCCCAGGGTCTCATGGCAAAAGAAGAAGTTAAGGCCTTAGTACTAGCTTAGGGGAAATAAGTCTCCCAAAGGGACAGTGCTCCCTCCAACAGAATACTTCTACTTTGGTGAGTTAATAGAGATATTCAGTTATGATGTGAGAAAATTAGACCAGATAAATGTTTGATTAAAATCCAGTTCAGTAGAGAAATTGTTTGCATCACTGATGAACAAGTATGGTATTAATAAAAACAATGGTAGAGAGTTAAAAGGATCACAGTGACCCCAAAATGGCACAGATTTTTTCTTAGTAGAAACCATCCTTGTCTCTCAGACTCAAAGGGAATATGACAACAGGAGTGTATGGTCAAATTAGAGGGTTTTCCGTAACCTCTCTACTGGAGCCTGGTATTTACCAGCCATATTGAGTAGAAAAAGACTAAATTATTTTAAATGATAGTATTCTACAAGGGAAAAGTCAAGAGATTTTTAGATATCCCCATATTTGGAAAAGGGGGTGATAAAAGGCTCTCACTTATTTTAACTCCTGGAGACCTGAACACCTTTATGGAGGAAGAAGAAAGGGACGCTGGCTCAGCATTTATTTCAGAACTGATTAGCCACTCTGTTCCTCATCACACCCAGATTCTCAGGCTACGTCTGAAATAAAAGTGGCATTACCTGGATTTAGTCCACATCAGTCTGGGCAGACAAAGGTCGCAACTACTTCCTCCTACATAGGTTAATATATGACTAAGCATATCAGAGCCCAAACTGATAGTGTAGCATAATCACAGTCAATAAGTAGTTGTGTCAAACAGCACTGGAAAGGGTCAGAACAAAATCCTAAAAACCTGGGATTATCCCCACCATTATAGCCTAAGTGACTTTTCCAAGCCTCAGCTTCCTCATTCAGAAGAAGTGATAATATAATTGCACTCTAATAAGATTACCAAGGTGATCCAGCAATTACTATGGAACATGCATCCTGAGTACAGAATTTAGTATACTGTAAGAACTCAATATGTGTATTATAGCTATTAGCATTAAATTTTATTTTATTGGTGTGTGTGGGTATGTGCATGCGTGTGTGTGTGTGCATATGTGTTTGTGGTGCTGCACATGTCGCACAGTGCACACGTGGATGTCAGAAGATGATTTTCAGGAGACAAGTTTTTCCTTCCACAGTGGGTTTCAGTATCAATCTTAGTTAGGTCTTCAAGTTTGTACTGTTCTGAGTCCTTTTACTAGATGAGTCAAGCCATCTGGTAGGACTAACTAAATATTTTATTGAAACTTGCATTTACATGTTATTTGGGAATTGGAATTTCTTGATTGGTTATAAAAAGATAGTAAAGTGTATTTAAAATAAACACCCTTCTTCTCACATCCTTAAATATATACCATAGTGTCCCAGAAAAGATCACGCCCCTGAATCATACTAAAACAGAAAGAGGACACCCTGTGTCTGAGGGTGTAGAGAGCCTGGAGGCAGAGAGGGCACCCTGTATCCGAGGGTGTAGAGACAATGAGCTGAGACGGATACAGGAAGGTGGCAAACACAAGTGAAGTGTGACAGAAACAACTTTCTGTGATTAGTACTTCATGTCAGTATTTCCCAAGTTTCCCACCACATCTCCAAGCACAAATGTACCCAGGGCATTTGGAGATTAATTTTTAAATCACTGTATGCCATCCATTTGGGGATGAAGGCAAGAATAAGGGAGAGAGGGACAGGCAATGGTGTCTTATTTAATTAGAGAATAGTCTAAGCACTTCAGATTGTGTAGTAATTTATTACTATTTTTTAGGACTGGAGAAGCTCGCACAAAAAGGAAAGTCACTGTCCCCATTAGCAAGTATAACTGGAATATCACTGTTTTTGATTATATCCATGTGTCTTCTTTTTCTGTGGAAAAAATACCAACCTTACAAAGGTAAGTTAAAATTAGAAAAAAAAAACACATTTTAAAAACAGTGCAAAAAATTTTCAAAATCATCTTACTCTATTTTCCCCTCTCTTGCTTTTAGCTATAAGGCAGAAGCTAGAAGGCCGGTAATGTATATGTTTCTGTGAAAAATAAGAAAAACATTTTCCCTCATTCATAACCTTTGATTAATATGTCTGCTTGTTTTTTTTTTCAGACCAGAGTCAGAATACAGAAAAGCTCAAACTTTTTCAGGTAATGGTCAGACTGAAAAGGACTGTTATCCATAGCGATGTATATTAACTAATCATCAGTGTTTACCAGGGATGTTTACAGATAGGACTGTCAATGTAACAAAATGAATAGAAGCTGATATTAGCACAGTCACAATCCCTATATTGCTCAGTGTCTTCCCTCTGCAAGGTCTGGAGGATAAGCTAGGGAAAGACTCTCAACTCCATATACAGACAAGGCAACTAGAAATCAGAGAAATGAAGGTGAGTTCTGCTCCATTCTCACTCATTGGCCCTCTCATCGTTAGTCTGTCAAAGCAAAAGGAGCCTTTGTAGTTTCTGGAGGATGTACAATAGCCCTGTCCGCAGAAGAGCAAGGATGGAAGTGTGATGGGGTGGCCTGTTCTGTGTGCACAGCCAGTCCTCACTGCCTTCAGTGTTGATTTTGTACTGAGCTCTTCTCAGTTAACAATGGAGCTTATTTTGAGGATGGTGGTGTCACCAAGAGCCAGGTTTCAGTCCTTTATCTGCCACATTACTCTTGGGAAAATTACTTTTCTTGACCTCAAATTCCTTATCTATATAACAGTGACACAAACTTCCTCCTGGGACTGCTAAGAGAATTAAGATAAAACGATTTGAAGAGCCTAGTGTGACTCACCTCCAGTCCTTGCTCTCTTACAGTAATTGAGCCTCACAGAAGGGAAGGGTCCCAAACCATCTGGCTCCTCCCAGCTGCCTTCACCCTCTTCGTTTCCTAGATAAAGTTTGGGTGATGTTCCTATTATGCTGCCGCGGGTTTTATGTGTCTGTGCAGCTGCTGTTATTGCTCATCCTTTTCTAGTGTTCTCTGTAGGATCTATCACAGCACAGTAGATATTATAGGTGGATCAAAGGTTTCTGTGACATCCAGGCTAAGGCCTCAGTGATCTTGAATCCATGATCCTGTCCACATATGTGTTTTTGAATATGGAAAACAATAGTCCACATCAGACCTTAAGAATAATTGGTCAAGTTCAGTTTCATTTTTCCTTTTGAGATAAAGTTATTCCCAAAACCATTCAATGCCAATATGAACATATGGTACTAGGAAATATTAAATGGTTTCTTGCAAATATCACTTAAAAGGGACAATAAAGATAAGTTCTGTGGCTATTCCCATGAAACAAAAATAAATGCATGCATTTTTAAATATCAGAGGAAAGAATTGCTTTTGTAAGCAGTGTTATTTTTCCTTTCAGGCCACGAAGATGCTCTGGGTGACTTCGGAATATACGAATTTGTGGCTTTTCCAGATGCGTCTGGTATTCCCAGGGTTGGTTTTCCTAGTGGCTGATTAGCCAAGAAGTAGAATTCTGCTTTCCCAGAGGTGTAAGCAGCATTCATTTAAGAACGAGGGCGGTGATGTCTAAAGGCATCCCACAATGCTGACTCACTCTATACTGAGATTTGTGGAGCTAAGGTGTTTTTCTCGTTTTCTTCTCTTATAGAGATAGTAAAACTGACACAAATAAGGAAGTTACACTAGTTAAAAAATACTCTTTACCTGATACAGTCTATGAATAAAGAAGTAACTAGGTTGAATATAGAGAGAAAAGAAGAACAGGGGACCAGGAGTCCCTAACAAATTATTCCATGTTGTTTCAGTGACCTCAGTCTTTTAGTTCACAGAATTCACTCTGTTCCTCAGTTTCCTTCCTTTCTTCCTCATAATTCCCAATATTTTTTCATCCTTGAGGCTACCTGGTTGTCATAGGGAGTTATTGTATAGTAAAAACCTAGTAATATACAGGTATATATCTTTATTACTCTAAACAAAGGCTAAATGTAGGGTCTTTTACAGTTGAAACCATTTGTTTTCAGTCAGTCTTTTTTTAAAAACATTGCAGATAATCAGTTTGACGCAAAATGTGTTCATGAATTATTAATTTGTAAGCACTCATAGATTTATAAAGCAACAGGTTATCCTTTGTCTCCTTGTTGCCCTATAATAGTCCACTTGGATGGGACCAAAAATGAATTGCTTGCTTCTGGGTGTTCTTTCTTCCACGTTTTAGAAAAGAACTGCTTGCGATTAGAAAATGGTCCCTTTGTTCTCAGCATTCTATCACCCTGTGTGCTTCATCCAGTGAGGTTCGTGGCTGCAGACTTTATTGCAGAAATGGAATGTCTTTTTACTAGCTTGAGATGTAAGGAGATTTTGGCTTCACAATATTCTTTCTGCTAAGTCACCCTTGCACGTGTGATTGACAAAATCTGTCCAAAAGAGCAATTAAGATATAATGTAACAGTTATATGTGCTGGCTAGTTCTAAACTGTAAGGCTGGTTTTGTTTGTTTGTTTGTTTGTTTGTTTTTACATCTCCCTTTCTGCTACTTTTCTTCCTCCTTTTTTTCCTGTACAGTATTTCCAGCTTTCTTCTTAAAAGATGAAAAGTGTGATGGGATCTCCCAGCTATTTCTGAAGTAAATAAGCAGCATAGCTTGAGAGCAGGAGGTGTAGCAAGGAGGAAGTCACATTCCAGCGGTGGAGAACGCCCACCCGTCTTCGGTCACCCTCAAGCTGCAGTATATTTCCAGCTAATCTCAGGCTAAGTTTTTTCTTTTAATGTTCTGTGTTTTCTAGATGCCAAATAGGTCCGGCCCAGCCTCTGATGGTGTGACAGGGCCAGATTTTCATGGCACCGTTTATGAGGTTATTCAGCACATCCCTGCTCAACAGCAAGAAAACCCACAGTAAGTCTGAATCTGCATTTGGGGAGTGCAGTGGAGGATCTCAGAGGTTAGCTCCTGCTTTCCTGAGGATTTATGTGAAGCAACCCAAAAATACTAACACAAGAAATGATAGCTTCAAAACATGAAAATTCTTCAAGATACATCCTCATTTGAAAATAATTTTGAAAAATGAAACAGGTAAGAATATAAATATCACCTAGAGAGATGCATGTGGGCAGGTAGACAGAGGCAGAGCTCTGGAATTGCCTGTCTGTTGCGAATGTTTGCGTATGTCCAGTACGTCTCAGAGGAATCCACATTTGGGCATGAAAGGCTCAGTCAAGCCAGGACTCAAGCCATCTTATTCATCATCACGACTTTGCAGCGACCGTAGTCATGGCCACAAGCCTCCATGACTAAAGAAAAGGCCAGCAAAAGCCTACCAGAGGAGAATGCCCAGTCACATCCAAGGCCTAGCATCCTCCCATTCAAGACTATTTCCGGGTACATAAAATTGGTCCCTCTGAGGACAAACCCTGTTTTGAGAATAAAGGCAGCAACCCACTTACCCAGTTGAACTCAAGGTCATTACCAGAAGATCTGCCTCTTTGCCATGTAGGAGCTAAGCCCATAGTTTTTTGAAATAATGGAATCAACTTCTGTTTATGTGTGTGTGGCTGCCTGAGGCCTAACTGCCACAAATCACCTTTCACCCTTTCTTTAGCTGTCATTTGTTGACTTTAAAAAGAACATCAAAAACCACACACAGGAACTTCCCCTCTGGCAAATGGAGCAGTTCCAACAAAGTAGTTCCTGGGTGAATGTTCAGACTAGCAACCGAGAGTACATCAGAGCAGTGAGCATCCTCTGACGAGGAGGAGCACACAAGGAACACAGCAGTTGTTAAAGCTGTGACGAGAACCCTCAGAGAACCTCATCAAAGGAAAACACACACGAAGTCAGGGAGATGAAATACTTCCTAGTGGAACTAAGAATTTCTAGTTTGAAATTTTAAAAAAAGTTATGATTTGAAACAATGTATTGCTAGACAGTTCAAGGAGGAGGCACAATACCATGACTCTTGGAAAATAAAACACTAAATTCATCCCTGTCCCTCTTTGTTTCTGGAGCAAAAGTGAGGGAATGGTGTGTTTTTAATCCTTCCTTTTTGGCTAATAAATATTAGTTGGACATAGTTATGAAGTACAATATAATGTTTTAGCCCATGTATACATTGTGTATTGATCAAATCAGGTTAATTAGCATATTTCTCACCAGAACTCCTGAGATCATGTCTGTCTGCTTTCTAAGACTGAATCCAGTAAATAAATAAATTAATCAGTAAACATAAAACTTGTCTTGGAGCTGGGGGAATGATTCAGTTTCTAAAGTTCTTTCCATGAAAGTGTGAGGGCCTAAGTTTGGATCCCAGAGCCCATGTAGAAAACCTGATAGAGCCGCAAGCACCGGGAGACACAGGGCTGCGAACCAGAGACAGGAAAATCCCAGGAGTTTGTGGGCCAATCAGCAAGCTCCAGGTTCAGAGAGATCTTGTCTCAAATAAAAGATGAGAGAGAGAGAGAGAGAGAGCAAACAATTGAGGAAGACACCTGATGATCACACACACACACACACACACACACGCAGGCACACATGCACACACATATACTTACACATGCACCCATATACAAGTGCACACACAGAAACACATCACATTTACATGTCACATACATGCATATACACACACACATAAAAATTATTAAGATAATTTTGAAATCTCTCTTATTTAAATTCACTTGTTTGTCTACATAACCTGTGTTATAAATATCTACTTTTACTACTAGTATGCCAAAAAAGCAATGAAGACTCAAGGTTTGTCATTTAAGAAAGTCTCCTAACACTGAAATAAATGGAAAGTTGTGATTATAGCAGGACAACTCCAGGATACAAAATAAAGTCAATGAGTTAAATTTGCATCTCAAAAAACTAATTTCTCAAAAAAAATAGTTTTTTTGATGCCTGTCTGAAATGAAAAAGAGCCTCAAAAATACTCAGTCCAATAAAAGTTTATTTCAGAAACAACTTCTGCTGGTTGAAAACAAAGCAAAACTCTTTCTCAAGCAAAGAACTATTCTAAATTGCAGGGCATCAGATCTGTCCCTCACTCCAATGCCTGTGCTCACCCTTTACACCGCCCCACCCAGACCCCAGCCCTGCCCATGGATCCCCTCACATCCCCATCTTCTGAGACCTGGTCATTTGTTTTGTTTCTCTGTGTGTCATCCGATGGCTTTCTCTCCCCTTGACCTTTGACTTTGCCCCCCTCTCTCTAAGACATTAAGATCATCCCCTCCCACACATAATTCCTTTTTAAAGGATGCAAACATAAACAGCATCTCTACCACACAAAGTAATAAATTATCCCTTTTAAGTTTTCCCTTCTGAATCATACAATCGGGAAGCCAACATTGCAAATTTGTATTTTCTTTTTAACACAGGTTTATGCTACCTATCTTAAATTTTAAAAACAAATAGAATACTTTGGGTTATTCATCAAAAATTGTCTTATAACTATTTACATAAATCCACAGATATTATCAGGGTCTTTGCTGTGTTCCAATGAGCAGGATTAAATAACACCCAGTCTTTTAAGAATTTCATAATTTTGTAGACTCCTTTTTGCATGAAAGATCTTTCATAAAGTAAATATTATTTCATAGGATAAATGTTGCCTGTAGCTGCACGAATGATTTTTGTCTTCTGATTATTTATGGTTTGCTCTATGTCCTATTACATTTGAAGATCAGTTTCATGAATAATGAGCATATAAGCTGCTGACTCTGTGCCATCCTCCTCTCCCAAAGTGAATGAGGTAGTTCTGAGGGAAGAACTCTAACTTACTGCTTTCTCTAACCTTTACTGAAAGTAATTTCATTCTTTGATCTTTAAATTATTTGTGTGTGTGTGTGTATGTGTGTTTGTTTTTTAGTACGTGGTGGCAAATTGGACTCCTGTTTAACAAATCAGTAAACTGGTCTCTGTTCATATGCCAGCACTCGGCACAATGATTCGCTTATTGAACACAGAGTTGCATTTACTGAAATATTATTCATTGATGCCATTAAGTGACCTGGCCCAGAATATTTTGAACTCAAGTTTGATTGTTCTTATCTTCAAATTTTTTATTCAGTTTTTGCATAATATATCTTAATTATATTCTTTCCAACCCCTTCTAGAGTCTCTCAACCTCCCTACACATCCAAATTCATGATCACTCAATCTCTCTCTCTCAGAAAAAAAAGAAAAAAAAACAATAAAACAAAGAATTAAGTAAAAAGATAGAAAATCCATAGGACAAAAAAATAAACAAATAAATAAAAACCAAGACTGTTTTGTGTTGGCCAACCACTACCTCTGGGCATCGGCATGGAGTGTGGTTAATACACTCCTGACACACAATTGGAGAAAACCGAAATTCCTTTCCAGCCAGTATCAGTGACAAAGAGCTTCTCGGTCTTGGTTAGAGGTGGGACTTTGTGTCCCCTTTTCCTTCTCAGGGCTAGAATTTCCTCTGGTTTGAACATGTGCAGGTCCTGTTTTTACAGGCATCAGTCCTGCTGTGTCCGGTAGACACTGTTTGCCTCATCATCTCTGGCTCTTAGACTCTTTCTGTCCCCTCTTCTGCTTCGTTCCATGAGCCAGGAGAGAAGGGGTTTGATAAAGACACCCGAGTTAGGACTGAGTTCTTCAAAGTCTCTGACGCCCATGTGCCAAGTGTCCTCTTGTGGATCTCTGTGTTAATTACCATCTAGTGCAAGAGGAAGCATCTCTGATGAGGGTGAACAATGTTCTGTGTTTGGATATAATGATATATAATTAGGATACATTTTATTGCTATGTTCCTTTAGCAGAATAATAGTAATAGGTTATCCCCCAGGCCCATCATCTATGTAGTATCAAGTTCTTAGCTACTTTAGCAGTGCCTCATGGAGTGGACCTTAAAACCATTCAAAATGTGGTTGGTTATTCACATGGTTATTATCATCTTGAAAACTAGACATCTAAATATTTAAACCCTGAGTTCTAAAATGTAATTATTTGCAAAATGATTGCTTACCCTGTCTACTATTGAGTGACAGAGTTTTCTTGGATCAGCTCAAATACTCACACTCCTCATCTTCACAGCTATAGAAAGAAGAGAAAGCAGTTAAAGTTCATTTACCCACAAAGCTAGAAATCTACAGAACACTTAATAAAGCTCATGTGTGTCTTCACCAGGTGAGATTCTACGGCACAACGGTGTATTGGAGTGAAATAATGAAGGAACATTTTGAGAGAAAACATCTGGAATCTGTGAAGAAATAAAACCCCAGCACCCCTCAGTCACACTTTTAAATGCAGAGTAGAGACACCTGTGCCAACTGAATGGTAGGTTTTCTGACACACACGCAAAGGGCTGTGTGACAGAGGAATGTGGACACTGCTTATCAGCCAGACTGGGAGGAAAAAGACAATGAAACTTCCCAGGTGCTCTGTATGTGAAGGCTTTCAGACATCCCAGTCGCGTTCACCTATGCTCCACACTGATACTGCCCTGTGCCACCAGGAACTAGGAGACTTTATCTTGTAAATGTCATGATAAGCTTTGTTTTGTTAAATGTTCGTTACTATTATGATAGCCAAACACCATTTTTGTCCCAAATTGATTCCTTGCTATTTGTGTCAAAAAAAAATTAAGGATGCTTAACACAAAGGTAAGCCTATGCCTTCTCCCTAGTTGGCAATGAACTTAGTTATCATTGCTGTTTCTGAAAGGACAGGCAAAATGTTTAAGGAAAAGGCTTGGTAGAATCTCATTTTCATTTTTGTTCAAAGAAGGAATAAACTGAAGTAAATTATTCTGCTTTGGTTTTACATGACCTTGATTATTTAGATTGTAAGGTCCTACTTTATAGTCAGATAAGAGTACAGATTTTTTATTCTTATTTACCATTGTACAAATAAAATGGACATTGTGGAAAATTATTAAAAATCAAACCCTATTCTCTCATGGTTGTCTACTTTATGCAGAAAAAACATTCTAATAGAAAATCTTTTTAAAACATTAGAAGTGAACACCTATACCTACCCCGTCCTATATTTTCATGAAGGCAGATGGTGAAAGTAAGACGAAAACTGAATCTCACAGTTCCTTTCTGTCTTCTAGCCCTGCAACATTTACAGGTCTTTCTGATGAAAAAGTTAGTCCTTGCTACCACAAATACTTTCTTTTGTACTTAGTAAAAACATGAATTATTCTATCTGATTAGAAAATGAATGCATGGTCACCAAACATAAGCATACAGCTGGTTATGGAGAAATTAAAGTCCCTGTCTTACCTTCCAGAAACAACTTCTCAGAACTACCCTGAATTATTCATATGTGTATCATATTCCTCCAAGCCCCAGAAAAGGTTTCTAATAGTTCATATAAATGCGCAGGTTACAAGGTCAACTGTAACTCAGAAAATAATGCTGTAAAGAAAAGCAGAGGAGCGATGAGATGCAAAGTAAAAGCAGAAGTGAGGCTATAACCGGTTCATTGAATTTCCCTTTCCCTGAGGATTGTCAAGAGACAAACGCAGGCGTGCCTCACAATGGCATTCTCAGCTGGCAGTCGCATAGCCAGCTTAGCTCTTGCCACCTCTGCCCCACCCCCTCCTCAGTCTCCTGCTCCCTCTTCCTGGCGTGTGTGTGTGTAAAGGTGGTGGGTTTCTGTTATCTGCTGAAACATCTCCCAGTGGGAGAGCAGACTGTGAGTTCTGTGTGTTTCTGGCTTCCTCTTTCTAAATCCTGAACATTTTAATCCACAGAAAATCTTAAACAGCTTTCTTGTAATGCATACACATGATATCCAAATCAAATCTTTTTTTCATAAGTGTGCACCAAGAAAATGTGTTTACTAATTCTGAAGTTAGCTTGTTTGTTCATCTTTTGACATTTTCTGACCCAAACCAAATAATACTTTTTTCAAACTCTCTTTCCAGTCACTTGTAATTCTCATTTCTGTATCTCTCTCACACATACACACAAGCAGACAGAATCCCTTAGTGCCTGGTTCCACTCAAAGCAGCAACAAGGAACTGCTGAAGGGAGAAATGGGAAAAGATCTCGAATTCAATTAACTTTTGCCTTCACTGGTGTGGAACGCCCAACGACAACTTGCTGCTTTTTTAGTAAATGGGGATAAAAATCTCATAAATTAATCAAGGTTTTCAAGGGAAGTGATGAGCCAAAATCCAGATGTTCATGTAATTAACAAATTAATCTTTAAAAAACAGTCAAAAGTTCTCCTCTTATTACTAAACACAATCTTAACTCTTTCTGAATTTTAGCTAATGTTACCACTGATCATTTGGAAGAGTCCTGACCTCAGTGCTTACTGTTTTTCAAATGGCACTTTCTAGGAGTGGATTCCAAGCAAAAAAAAGTAGAAATATATGAAATAAAGTTTTCTGTTTGTATTTCCATGTGAATAAGGCAGTTTCAATTAAATTGGCACAGTCTCAGAAATCAGATCCACATGAACCTTCAATCCAGATGACATCACTTCAAAAGTTTTGTTACAATAATAAAATTTGAATAATAACAGTAAATACTGGACAAGGGAGTAGCTATTTTTACTGTGTTTCTCTAAGTTTCTTTTTAAGAAAGTCCTTGTTTTCTGCTTCTACATTATTGTACATAATCATGTTTATTCGTGTCATTCTTTTTGTTCACCTATAGGTGACATTCAAACATGCATAAATATGTTTTAGTTTCATGAGGTAATAAGAAAGCAAAGGCAAAGACACAGGAATTAGCTGTGGATTTGACTATTATCCATCTTCTCATATTATAATGCACTGTGTATTGTGACTACAATGTTAGCCTTGATTTTTTTTCTTTTTTTCTTTTATTTTAGCCCTGTGCTGGGAATAACATCCAGACCTTGTACATGCTAGGGAAATGCTCTGTCACTCAACCTCAATCCCTTAACCTTGATATCCCTAAGCACTTTTGCAGACATAATGTCCTTGCTCTTCAAACCTGTGGACTAAAGTATGTTCACTTTACAGTGAAAGAAACTGAGACTGAGGAGTTCAGTGATTCCCCAATGACAATGAGTGACAGAGCTGATCTTGTAACTCTCTGTCTGGCTCCCAGCCTGGGGCAACAGCCTTTTTCCAAGGCACCACATGTTTCTCTGGACGTGGCATCCACAAGCAGAGCACAAAGCAATTTATCTTCTGCCAGCCTTGCCTTAAGAACTGTATTAGCTTGCAATCAAATTGGGTTTCTGGGAAACAGTTTACTCTCTTGTTTATTTGTTTATGTCTAAGAACTTTCACATTTCAATATGTTCCCAGGAAAGATGACAGCCCAAGTGCTTTCCTTTGACAGAGGGTAAACTGATAGATTGTTTTCATGCCTGAGAAAATTTCCAGCAGAGCTCTTCTCACATTTAACGTAAATAATTGTCTCAGGAGCTGGAGCTTCAGCGGCCCACTGCAGGCCTGCCCTTCTGAGAGCTGGCTGTGGCCTCTTTTCTGACATACACATTTTAGAACCCACACACTAAGTACCTTTTGAACTTCACTGAGCTGAATTGCATGCCATCTCTTCTGTATGTTTAATAAAAATGTCATCTGTATGAGACAGATAAATTACCTTGTTTCCAAAAGCCAAGCTCCTTTGACTCCCAAGGTCACTTAATAATAGTGAGAGCTGTTTTTTTCTTAGAGTTCACCAAGACCCTATTCAAGTTGTTTGTTCTTTAAGTGGAATTTTGAAAGTGTTATTGCATCTATATATGTCATTTTCATTACTTACAAAATAACTTTTACTGCTTTGGAGGATACAGATTGCTGGTCACCAGGCATTTTATGGATAGTAAAACTGAGACTCGGATACACTGGGCCTCAGTTTTGCTCTCAAAACACGCAGGAAATAAGTTAAAAGGTCTCCCCCTTGCTTGAATTTATCATACTGTGAGCTGGGGTCATGATTCACTGGTATAATACCGACTGGGTATGTGAAAAACCCTGCACGGCACCAGCAGGAACAGTAGCTTTCCCTCGCAGTGAACTGGTCATTTCGAGGGCTCCAAGTGACCATGTGCTTTCTTTTGCTCTCATTGCCATCTATTGAAGTCCTTGCCACCTTACTGCAATTGTACTGTAAATCAGTGACATAAAGAGTTCATTACAATGCTGTGCTCTAAATATGGCTATAAGACTATGTAAGAATAGCAAGATAATCAGGAAACTTTCTCATGCATGATATCACAGTTAAAGAAGAGTCAATCGGCTTTAGAGCATGTGACATGAAGCACTGTTTGTCATATATGATGAGAAAATATTCCAGGCAGATATGCAATGCAAGGAACATGTGGAAAGGTATTTGGAAAATAAGTCTGGTAAGAAATGTAATCTTAATTATATTGATAATATTCTGTTAACTATTTTCCATGTGTCAAAAGAAAGAGAAAGATCAACTATGGTTCACTCTTTATCTTCTAAAAACTTAAAATCAATCATAGAAATAGCAGGGTGTTTGATAGTAATACCAGGAATAATAAACATACAACATGGCATACTAACTACGAAAGAATAACATAGAACACACCATGGAAACTTCTATGAGTGCCTCAGATAGAGTCCAGAAGATTCAAACATGGAGTCCTGAAGAAAGTTTAGCGGAATCTCCAAGGACCAAGAATCAGCCAGGTGAGGATTTGTGAGGGAAGCTTTGAAGGAAAGAGAACTGCTTGGGTAAAGTCTTGGTCTTGGAGTAGCATGGCGGTCCAGCTGAATAACTGTCAATAATACCATAGTGATGGGGAGTGAAGTGGGGCATAGAAAAGCAAAGACCAATGGGAGAAACTGGCGTCCTGTAACTGCCCTCATTACAATGGCACTGGCATGCTCAACCTTTCTCTATGTTACTTTCTTGGGTATGAGCAAACTTTTCCCAGCAGCCTCTGCTAGAATTCCAGTAGTATTTTCTTGACCAAACTAGTTAAATGTCCTTCCCCAAAGCAACTGGTGGCAAAGGATTGGGACAAATTTGCTTAAAACAATAGTCAGAATTTAGTCCTTGGAGATGAAGATAAAGCCAACATCCCCAGAAGTGCGTGGCCAGTGCTGGGGAGTAGAATAACAGATAAGTTGGATGTGTTTTTATGGAAATAAGGAAAGGGAATAAACACATGTGAGAGGATGAGGTGGAAATCAAGTCATAAGGAAACACCTAAGTACCCTTGAATAAATCAACAAAAATCCAAGTGAATGAGGAAAGCTTAAGGAGTCGTAGTTAAATGAGCAAGAGAGAAGTTTGGGAAGAAACCTAAAGTGAGATCAGGGAGGGATACTGATTTTGGTACTGTGCAGCCATAAATACTTAAGGAAAATAAGGTTCCTCTGTTTGCACTGGTCGCGCAAAGCCATTTTCTTAGGCAAGTATTTTTTTAGTGAGATTTTGTTAGTTTAATAAATACATGTATATTATAGAATTACTTTTGTTAAGACCATTATTTTTCCACATTAAGAAATAGTAACAACTAGAAATTTTGATTCAATATTTCAGAAAAAAATGCTATGACAATAGAAGCTGACCTGGAAGGCAATCATAACTGGATGCTAACAAGTATGTTTGCTTGATCTCTTGTCCATCAGATAACTTCTGACCTCACCTAGTTTCCCACACTGTGGAGGAAATTGCCTACCATCCTCTTACTGCTCCAACAGAAAAGCTTAAAGCAATTCAAACCTTCACCACCAGAAGTGTTCCAATTTGGACAATAAATTGCATCATGACAATGCATGAAAACTTTCTTTTGTCTCCTTTTCCATTTGAAAAACCCTTGTTTATTCTTTGAGATCATCTGTGCCATGGTCACCTTTGTTGTACAGCATCTTCAGAAATATTTGAGATGACATATTGACGCTATAAAGCTTCCTTAGACTGCTAGTCATGGGTCTATTTCCCCCTATTTTACAAAATAAATTTAAAATAATATATGAGCTACAATATTACAAACCTATAAATTTCATTATCCCCATAACAACGTAAATGTGCATGTAAACCCAAACACTCTTGGGTGCTGATCTAACTAGAGTGGGAAGATCACATATGCTCTAGTTCCTCAAAGTTCCATAGCCTGTGACTACATTTCTAAAATGATCAGTGTCTTCTCAGCAAGCACATACTACCCAAACTCCAGGCTCTGCTTAAGGAGCTGAACCAGGACCTGGATGTAAAAGGTTAGCTTTCCCAAGGAGGGCTAACACAGAACCTCACTGGTACTTTCCCATTCCAAAACAACACCGATTACTCTAGACACCATCAAGTCATTACACATAAATAATCGCTACCAGATATCTTTTCCTAAATACAACACACATCAAATGTATATGTTTAAAGGAAGGAGAGAAGAGACCAAAGCAAACTGATTTCAACTGGGGTCCAATTAGATAAAGTCAAGAAACTCCAGCTATTAAAACGAAAGAGGCAAATTTGATTGTAACAATGTTTGTATCAAACAATATCATGGATCAGTTTTACATTGAATCTTAAAATTTTATTTCTATATACACAGAAAATATTCCAAAAAACCTCTAAGAATAATAAAGGAGAAACAGGGAGGAGGCTTAGCCACTTTTCAGTTTGATTTTACAGAAAATTGTGCTGACACTAAGTTCTCTAGGATGGAGAAGTCCCCACCTGTGTGGGAAATCCTTCTGCATAGGTTTTTTCAATGTACAGAGATATATTTCAGATGGACAGTTATTCTTCAAATCTTCCAAAGACTAACAGAATATGGCATTTAAATGTTTTAAGAACTTAAGACTTTTCATGACAATGAGACACATCTGCTCCTAGCAACACAGTCTACCTCAAGAGGAAGATGTGCGTCGAGGAGGCTCCTTACGGAGTTTGCTAGCCAAGAAACTGCTCTGGCCTGGACTGCTTGATACTACGCTGTATGAACTGGACGTGCAGGACCCACAGAGAATGACTGCTGAACTTACCAAAAGGTGAGACTGTTCTTCAGGGTTCCTGCTTCATAAGAGTCTGCCAGACATTCTGCAGGACACAGAAGAAAGTGACTGACAGATTGCCAATATAGGTGGAATTGTCTTTGATATTTCCTGCTTTATGAAAATATCTGCCAGATACTATGGGCCTGTGGGCTGAGGATGGGTACCCCAATATTAGAGAAGAACTTTGGGTGACTGTTCAAGCAGCAAGATGTCTCTGTCAACTCTAGAGTTTTGGAAGTTGTTTACAATGCACTTTCTGTTTACTCAGGTAATAGTATATCCTCCTGGAGTCTTTGATGGGGTTGAAGAATAGATAGTTATAATTAGTTTTTCTTAGTTATGATAAAATATAAAGTAGATATAAATATTGTAACTATAATTATTTCTTGACAACTGTTTTGTTGTATGCAATCTTGCTATGTTAAAGTTAAAACCTTCATTTCCATTTAGATAGAAAAGGGGAAATTGTGTGGGAATTCCTTCTGTATATGTGTTGCTTTTATTGTTTAATGAGTAAAGAATCTCCTTTGGCCTGCAGCAGGGCAGAATAGAGTTAGGTGAGGAAAATTAAACTAAAGGGAGAAAGAAGGCGGAATCAATGAGATGCCATATAGCTGCCCAAGGAGAAAGACGCAGGCTGCTAGTTGCAACCTTGCCAGGAGGCCACAAGCCTCATGGTACAATATAAAATAATAGAAATGGGTTAATTTAAGATGTAAGAGCTAGCTAGAGATATACATACACTAATAGGCCAAGCAGTGATTTAATTAATACAGTTTCTGTGTGGTTATTTCAAGTCTGGGTGGCAGGGCACAAACGAGCAGCCTCTGACCACACCCACCCCTAACTGACATGCTATTGGCAGCTGATGGGTGCTAAGGGGGAGTCAGTTTTCTCAAGTGATGTAGTCTGTGACAGATTGCCAGTGCTCCAGTGGAGGGTGCTGAACCCCCAGGCACATATGGACATTAGTAATTGGGTACAGCGGATTCTAAGGGGGAGTAGGAGGGAGAGAAGTGATGGGTGTGGTGGAGAAATATAAAATTGGAGGGGATGTGGAAGCAGAGTCTTAGAGGAGCTGGAGATAGGGGAATGTGGATATTATCTAAATACATTGTGTTCCTATATGAAATCACCAAAGAAAAAATAAAAAGTTAAAGTGCATTGTTATGAACATATCTATAATAAAATATAAAATGGATATTTGGCATTATAAAGCATGCATCTCGTATGTGTGTGTGTGTGTGTGTGTGTGTGTATTTTCTTCCTTTTCATCTACATTCTTTTGTTTTCTCGGCATTTTTCTAATCCCTTTCCTCCTTATTTTCCCTTTGCCCTGGTTTAATTTCTCCTGCATTACACAGTGTTTTCATTTCCTTTCTCTATGCCCTAAGCTGAATGCCTGAAAAGTTAAAATCTGAGAGTGTAAGTAGGTGGCATTTGGTTGACTGGTTTCTCAGAGTCAGACACAGGTCAGGGCCAGCAATCCTCGGATGAAGAATTCTGAGCTGCGTAGCCAGGAAGATTCAGTAGCTGGTCACAGACGTTTAAAACAAAGCTCTCAACTAAAATTCAGAATATTTGATCTTCATCAGATATTGGCTTTAATGCTGTAGTTGTCTGTCCCACTGGACTATAGAAAGAAAAAGTGAAACTTGGAATAAGTAAGCTTCCACAAGAAAAACTAGCCTTGGGGTACAGCATCTATTTCTGTGTTCCCAAAGGGTTAGTGAACAGTAGAAAGAACTGGGGAGTCTTGTGTCTTATGACTTGAAATTGCACTGAACTGTCTTGAACTACATTGAATGGAAGCACAAAATGCAAGGACTTGTCGTGAATTTATTTAATTGACTTATTGTTGCAATTTCATATGCAGTAACGAACAAACTCTGCCAAGTACTAAAAAGAAAATCTTTTCTTTTAACCCTTAAATTGGTTTGTAGAATTATCCCTATTTATAAATGAAGAACTGAGGTTCTTGGAGGCCAGGGAACCATAAGGCATCACCAACTAGCGAACAATATGTGCTCCACTCTCAGCTCCTGCCAGCCATTTTCAGAATGCTCTGTTTAATGTAGTTACAGTTGCATCTTCTGAAGCTGGAAGTTTTCTGACAAAGGCCCCTGGAGCCTCTCCACTATCTAAATTTGTGTCAAGTGCTATTTTGTCTGAGGCTCAGAACACCTCAACTGTGTGGAAGGAACAAAGGTGACGGACTTTTTCAGAATCATGCTTCTGTAAAAGAGTATGCATGTCTCTGCTGGCAAACTCTCAATTTATGCATATGCATACATTTGTTCTCTTATATAAACATATATACACACGTTTTCTACATTCACATGATGTTTTCATGGGTGTGAAGCAATCAGAAACTTCTCTTTCCGCAGACGAAGGTGAGTACGACGGTCTTTACATTTCTAGAATTAAACAGGCAGGATTTCAGCTCCTGTCTCTACTACAAAAATGTTTCAAAAATACCGACAGTCAATGTTTATTTATACTTGAAGGTCTGGAGGAAGTGTGTGTGTGCTGCAAGGGGAAGCATCTGAAAGATTTCTGAAGCAATGGATGTTTAAATTAGTGTAAACCAGTTTTAATGAGTTGACCCAACTCTTTTGGCCTATGCATCTAAGAAAAAAACAAAAACAAAACAAACAAACAAAAAAACTTTACTGTAAGTGGCAAGTACTCAAGATTTGTATTTTATTACTTTCAATTAACTTTTGAGAATTTCAAAGAGTTCAAAAATCCTCAGTATAAGAAAATAATAGAACTTTAAAAAGGATATGCTAATTGCCCTGATTTGATCATTATATATTACATACACATAATATTATTATACTGTACCCATAAAAATATATACTTTGGTGTCAATTAGAACATTTTTAAAGTTTAAATTTTTTCTAGACTTATTAGTGAGGGGAATTACAAAATCAAAATGAAAGCTACTGTCCAATTTTTATTTCAAGCTAAACCAGGACAACTTACCAAGTTAAGTATGTCATGTAGATTCAAGGCCAGTATCATAGTGCTAAGCTTTATGACCAGATGGAGTGGCTTGCCTTTCTGACTGGTGACCTATGTGTTTCTTTCTTGAAAAGAGTTACAGTGTATCCAAGACTAGATACAACGTTAAAAACATCTTTCTCTGGAATGGCTGCTGGCTTCCCTGCTTTAAAGGAGTGTCTGAGATAACCTTAGGTCCAGATGTTCACTTTCCTTAATCTTTTAGTGCCACCTAGGGTCCCAACTTAGAAAGGGTTTGTGTGAGGCCAATTATAAATACTGTGAGGTCTCCTGGCCTGAAATTAATAACTTTATCACTTGATTATATTTTGCCTTTTGGCTTTAATTCAATGAACTGGACAACATTCAGGAAGGTGATTTGACAGTACGAAATTTGAAGGTACTTAGACTCTTTGACCCAGTTATTAGATGTCTAGAAAATGATGGAGGCACAAAAACATTTGGTACAGTATTATCTAGAACAAATGACTAATTATGAAACATGGCATAACCTCTTCAAAATTTGTTGTAAGAAAGAAAATCCACTCAGTTGTAATCACTTATTTTTCTCCTTATAGAAAGATGTTAGGTCTATTATAAACATCGAAAGTTAAAATCACATCTAGTTCTACAATACACGGTAGCACCTCAGAACAATACAGTTCATGACCTCAAAACAAGACAGGAGCATGCTCAAGAAGTAGAATATTCGTATTGCTGGAAGAGACTGTAGTGTTTGACATACTGACCATTCAAGATAGATGATATAAAGTCCCTTACATAGAAAACACAGATCTCTTCCCCTATTCCCTCCCACACACCTTCTTCCTAACCTCTCCAGAGCCATTTGAAACTCCCATTGCAGAGGCCCCATTCATCCATAAGAATCTATTCTCTTTCCATTTCCTAAAAGATCTATCTATTCCCTCTAGTTCTTTACTCTGTACCTACCCTCTATGGTTCTATAGATTATAGCTTGATGATGGTCGATTTAACTGCCAATATCCATATGTAAGTGAGTACATACTATATTTGTCTTTCTGGGTCGGGGATACCTCACTCAGGATATTTTTTTTTCTAGTTCTCTTCATTTGCCTGCAAATTTCATGGTGTTATTCTTTTTAATGTTTGAATAATGTTCCATTGTGTAAATGTAGCACACTTTCTTTATCCATTCTTCTGTTGAGACACATTTGTGTTGTTGGGGGGTCTGGGAAACTGTGTCAAAAGTCAGGCATCCAGGTTCAGGGACAGCTTCCAAATAAGGTCAGGCACCTAGACCTACAGACACTATCCAAACAGGGGAGGGAGGAGCCCTGCTGCAAGAGAGTCCTCCATATCACATGGAGCTCAGAGCTGTTCGGACATGGCAGACTGTAATTTTAAGCAGCAACGCCCTCCAAAGGGTTGTTTCCAGTTTCTGAAATATTATTGACGAGAGCAGCAATGATGAGGAGCTAAAATTAAGGGACATTTTATACAGACTAACACTCTACCACTGAGCTACAGGAGTGCCTTGGTCTTTTCTCAAAGCAATGTGTCTTACCCTCTCTGAGGATTGCATGGGGGGGTAAGAGGGGGATATGTGGAGGGAATGGGAGGAGGGATGGGAGTGGAAACTGGGATATATATGTAAAAAGTAGAAAGATAATTTGTTTTTTTAAAAAATAAAATAAAAATGAAAGAAAGAAAACCAAATACTGTAGAAACCTTCATATATATATGAAGGTGATCTAAATGAAATCACCAAATAATGGGGGAGACCCAACTGGCCATCTCTTCTCACCAAATGAAGTTTCCAGTACCAGGTTTGAGTTACATCTAATATAGTTATCGACCAAAATAGCCACCAGGGGAATCCCCAAATAATTCAAACTGTTACAAAGACTATAGGTTGCCCTTTCAGAAACTAACAGCAAAGCCCCATTGCAAAGAAAATTTCTTCTCCATTCATTGAATATGGAGATTCTGAGTTGATTCCTATATAGAATGTTCCATTCCT